AGGGACAGGGAGCGGGGGGGTTAGATGGGTCTGGGGTTCTGGGGGGGCTGTCGGGGTCAGGGATGAGGAGAGGGGTCAAGGCAGGCAGGTAGAAGAGGGGATTGGATGGGTCAGGAGTTCTGGGGGTCCTATCAGGGGGCAGGGAGCAGTTGGATAGGGCATGGGAGTCCCCAGGGGTCTGTCTGGGGGCAGGGGTGTGAATATGGGGTGGGGGTGTGGATAAGGGTAGGGGCAGTCAGGGGACAGGTAGGGTTGTAGGGGGTTCTCAGGAAGGGGCAGTCAGGGGACAAGAAGCAGGGTGGCTTAGATAGGGGGTGAGGTCCTAGGGGGTAGTTAGTGGCAGGGGTCCCAGGAAGGGGCAGTCAGGAGACAAGGAGCAGGGGGGGCTGTTGGAGGTTCTGAGGGGGGGCAATCAGGGGGTGGGAAGTGGGAGGGAGTGGATGGGGGCAGGGCAGGGACGGGGCTAGAGCGGGGCTCCTCCCCCCCAGTGTCCTCTCTTTTTTGCTTGTGGAAATATGGTAACCCTAAGCTGAAATCAATTGTTGTGGGACAGCATTTCTGCCTAGCTGGCTTTAGCAATGAAGTTCTCCCACTCAGAACTGAAAATCATGAAGGGCTTGTCTACACTTACATTTTATAGTGCTCTAACTTGCTGGCTCACCCTCCTGAGCGCAGCAAGTCTGAGTGCTTTAAAGCGCTAGTGTAGATAGGCTCAGAGCTAACCCCCTCGTGGAGGTGGATTACCAGGAGCGCTGGGAGAGCTCTCTCCCAGCCCTTGCGTGCGACCACATTCGCACTTCAAAGCGCTGCCATGGCAGCACGTGGAAGTTTCCAGTGTAGACACCCTAAGAGCTGGGTGGGACCTCAAGAGACTGATCTGCAGAGGTGATAGTAGAGAAGCAGGTGGCAGTAGAAAGTGATAGTGTGCATCGGTGACAGCAGGACACCCAGTGGGGCGGCCAGCAGCTGGTAGCAAAGCAAGCAAGCATGTGCCTTCTTCCCTCCCCCACCCAGAACAGAAGGTAAAATCTCACAGATGGACCTCTGAACTCCTGGTTCTTCATTGAACAAGGACAACCACTGGGAGTGGGGTGTGGTGGAGGGAGAAGAGTTAAAGGAACTTTCGGTTGTAGAACTCAAGAACCTGAGGCAAAGGACACTGCCCAAGGTACTCTGGCTGTCTTGCTCACAGTTTTGTTTATGAATCCAGCTTGCAGCGTTTTCCCAAATTAATGTCAGGTGTTGTCTTCCCTCCTTTCATGAAAAGTTTATTTTCTACACTCAGACTCTGTGCTTGCGAGTGGGGAAGTATTGCCTCTTACACACCACCCGTGGGTGCCCCTAATTTTCCCAGGTTACTGGGTGGGGGCTTGTGGTACTCTGTACCTCAAAGTAGCACCCTGGAATCCCCATATTCATCCTATTATATGATTATGATATATTTCATACAAAGCGTGCCATCTAAGAGATCCTATGAAAAGTTATGATCTGCTGAAACCTGATCTGACAAAATACGTATATCATTAGTGTGTATGAAGTTATGGGATTTTGCTGTATAGTTGTTACTGAAATATGCGGTAAGTTTGCTAGTGACGACAAAGGAGGTGATCTGCATCCAGGAAGGTGTTAAACAACCATTAATCAGCAGGGGAGTTGTAAACAAGGGATTTACAATACTGCAAGAGGGCTGCCCAAGCATCACACAAGGGGGGGATTGCTCAATTCTGTGATGCAACAAAGCCCACCAGGACATGTCTGGGCTAGTATTTTCCAGGCACATGGACTGAGGTTATAAAATAAGGGACACTGGCATCATACCTTGGTCTTTCTTCTCCCCCACCTACACTGGAAGCAACAAGAAGGGTGGGAAGACAAAGACTTCAACTGAGGAGACTAGTCCCAGGCTTAAAAGGGGAAGCCTGTGTATTAAGAACTGTAACATCCAGTGGAGTGAGAGAACTGCTTGATCCAAATACTGCCGAGTGTAATAAGGCTTAAGATTTAGACTGTGTACTTACCTTTATTTTTCTTTGGTAACAATATCTGATCTTTTTATGCCTATCACTTAAAATCTATCTTTCTATAGTTAAAATATAGAACAGATTTATTATCTAAAACAGTGTTTTGGTTGAAGTGCTTGAGAAATCTCAGCTCGGTTTACAAAGGCTTGTGTGTGTCCTCTCCGCATCAAGGGAGGGACGGACTGGGTAACAAACTTACATGGGGTCAGGCTTTTGACCAGGGCAAGACAGTACAGTACTGGAGTGCAAGGCTGGGGCTTGGGAGATTTGCTGGTGCCTTTCTCTGTGTGATTTTGTGAGTGGCTCTGGGAGCATTCATACAATCTAGCTGGGTGTGGGGCTGCACCTGGAGGGGGTTGCTGCTTGTCACTAGCAAAGCATTGTGAGGGCCAGCCCAGGCTGGAGAGTTAAGAGGGCACAGCGATATCCCAGTTCCAGGTTGTAACCCAGGAATCCTGTCACAGGGCTTGAGCTGGTTCTGTGTTGTATTGTTGAAAAGGAACCCCTAAATATTGAACCTGGCCCTCGTTGCTGCCAATTCCTGGAAGAGGGTTACAAAAGTTCATGTTGAACCAGCAACCTTAACTCTGCTTTCTTGTGTATATACATTAGATACATTTTTGTGTGATCACGTACTAATTCTCAAATGCAACAATGCTTTCTACAACCTCAGATATATATCTAGGTTAAGGTGATTACTTTTACAAATACTGCAGACAAATTATCTTCAGACATCATTCTTCCAAATAAAGTACAGAATGCCTGCCCTTATACCTGCAGATAAGATTTGAAGGATTTATTGCCTGGGTCACATCAGCTCATATTCAAATGAAACAGTAAATACTATGACAGCCTCAATTTTAAAGATGAAAAGAAATTTTGCTTTGAAATATAGTAGCAAAAAACCTGAATTCATATATATAATTTTCTTCTTGCTAAGAAATTAGCAACTACCATAGGGGATATTTGAGATTTTTTGGCAACATGTACTAAGCACTTGAGATTAGCATCTAGTCTTTTGTCAGTTGAGTTTTCCCCATTTTCCCTAAATGCAAAAATAAATTTAATGAACGATACTAAAGGAAAAGGCAGCAGCTGTTGCTGCTGCCCAGCGCCTTCCATTTCCAAGAGTTATCACCAGTGCTACCAGTATGATGACTAGCCGGGAGCTCTGCTTGCTAAAATGGCACTCCTGCTGTTGCTGTATTTAGTGACTTTCAGTTGTGCCTCCTTGAGCATTCCTGTGAAGGAGTAATCAAGTAGTGGAGAACAATCTTGCAAGCAAAAATCTCAAGAACCTTCTTTCCACTACGTAGCCCAGCTCAAGAGCAAGAGCTGGAGAAAGGTGTGTGCAGTACTTGCGTGTTAATCTTCTTTGCATTAGTATTTGGCTTTCCTGATACAGGGGAGATGTTGAATCCAACAATAGTTGTAGTCTTTTTTTTTTTTTTGGGTAGAGAGAATGCCCTATAGCATCCCTTGTTGCTAGGTGTTTCTCAAACTTTATTTTTAGAAATTAGGCCTGCTTGAAGTTGATAGGAATTTTGCCATTGACTTAGGACCAAGATTTCACCCCAGGACTTATCTAATGTATACCGAAGCAATAGGAATTTTTGGGCCCTCAGGGACTAGACTATAACCTTACAGGAGCATGAACTGTGAGTGAGCATCACAATTCCTTTCTTGTTCTTCACTTTCTTTGGGGAGTAATAAGATACTTCACCTTTTATGGGGAGTAGTTCTGTCCCCTGTACAACTTGCTAGCTACTGTAGCTGGTGTGTGTGTGTGTGTGTGTGGGGGGGGGTGTCAGGGCTCCACTCATTCCCCTTCCCTGCCCACTTACTGATTCACAAACATCTGCAAACACACAGAGCCTACTGAAGCAGGAGACATAGTCCTGTCCTCCTTTGCACAGGTGGGTAAGGGTTGGGACAATGTCACCCTTAATGAGCAGAGGTGTAGTAACAATAGTTGAGGGCAAACAAATTCATTCAGCAAAATGGAAGGATAAAAAAAGAAGGAAAAGGAAATAGACAGTCACAGACAGGGTGAGACTGTTGTAGGGAGTGTAGTTGTAGCTGTCCTAGCGTATTAGGGAGACAAGGTGGGTGAGCCAATATCTTTTATGGGCCCAACTTCTGTGGATGAGAGACAAACTTTAAGCTATACACAGAGCACTTCTTCAGGTGAGTCTGTATCACACCTGACTGGGTTTGCTGCCCTAGGGGGTGGGTTATTTAAGTGGGTACCTGAAAGTTAAATAAGAGCACTAGACAGGTATGAGTAGACAAAGATAGGTGAAGAAGCAGCACTTAGGTCGATGACAATGACAGGCAAGATGCTGGCATACACTTGATGATGAGTTATGAAAACCAGGTCCTTAGCAAACACCAGTTTGCCTCCCCTGGCCAGAAATGTCAAACAACTTTTTCACTAAATGGAAACAGAACCGAAGTCAGCTTAGAGCATACTTCCCGGGGGAACAGCTCAACCTCCAGCCCTGACTGTGTGTGTGTGTGTGTGTGACATAAACTCCGGGTCTCTTCCCAGTGCCTAGCTGAGAAAAATCCATGTTGCCTGAACCTCCGCCACCGCAGCAGAGAGGTCCAGGATCGATGTGGACAGTGCCCAGCACCACAGGGCCCTGGCCTCTAGGGGCTCCCCTAATGCAGCTACCGGGAGTAGCATGTGAGCGCTCGGCCACACCGGCGGGCCCTGCCCAGGAGACTGGATGCACCGTGGGGAGGCAGCCGGTGGCTCCAGGGCGGCCAGGCCAGTGGCCCTCATCTCCCCGGGGGCAGGGCCACTGGAAGGAGCCCGCTGCCCCGGCTGGGCTGCGAGTGAGAGGGGGTGGCCCTTTCCCCCGCTGCAGCGCGTCGCTCCCAACCCCCCGGAGGGGAGCACTGCAGCCGGCGAGCCAAGGCTGCGCCCAGGGCCGCTGCAGGCGCGGAGGCTCCGCGCTCCCCGGGGCTGGAGAGCCTTCCCCAGGCACGCGCCTGCGCTGCCTCCGCCTCCTCCCCCGGGCCCCTCCTCTCTCCGCGCGGTGTCGCTCACCGGCTTTGTCAGCCCTGCCCTGGCGGTCCGGGGAGGGAGCAGCCGGGGCGCAGGCTGGGTGGGAGCCGCTGCCATCCGCGCGGACTGCCTGGAGAGCCGGCTGCAAGCCAGGGCGCTACCGCCGGCGAGCGGCGGGGGCAGCCAGGCAGGGACGCGACGAGCCCGAGCGTGGACACTCTCCTGCCCTGGGTGTCGTCTAGCGGGAGCCCCAGGGAGCCCGGCAGCTTCCAGCCCTTGCGGTGCGGAGAGCGAGACGCCCACTGCGCCCGGCGAGCAAAGAGCCAGGCGGGCTCTGAGCCGCTGCCATCAGCTGGCAGCGTAGGCAGAGGGGCTGGAAACCCGTTGCCATCAGCAGACAGCAGGGGCGGGGAGCCCACGGCCATCGGTGTGCGCCGGCGAGCAAGTTGGGGTGCAGAGGAGGAGGGCCGTCCTGCCCGCTCCAGGGAAGAGTCCGGCATGCAGAAGATGCCGTGCATGGCAGCGAAGACGAGGTGGTTTTGTGGTCCCGGCTGCTCGGTGTTTCCCTGGCGCTCTTGCTTCCCCTCTTGGATTTGCTGCTGGGCTCTAATCTGCTGTCAAGCGGCGCGGACGGGGGATGCTGCTGAGACTTCCTCCGGCGTGCAGCTGCCTCAGTGTCAGGAGGTGAGATTTCCTACCCACCCTGTCTGGCTCAGCTAGACCCGCTGCTTTCCTTGCAAAGCAGCCGCTTTACACTCTTCCCGTTGTTGCAATACGGGGCACGATGCTCCGGGTTGCAGAGCAGCGAGTGGGTTTTGTTCCTCCACCCACTGGTAACGATGCCTCTTTAATGTTGTGAAAGAGGCGCAATGTGCGGTCTGTATTTTAATGCTTTTAAACAAGGGAGCCCTTTGAGAATGCAGTTACAAAGTCTTCTAACCCGTTCCCTGTGCTCTCTCATAAGTAGTTATAAAGGCTGTGGCCTTAACATGATTGTTTTCATTCTGGATCAAGTCACGCTAGGTTTTGAGGTCTGGCTGCCTTGCCTGCTTGACTTAGCATCGTTATAAAACAAAATGCTTTGCTGAATGCTGAGCTCTTCCCTTTTATTTAATGTCTGTGTTAGGCTCTCAAGGACTTTCTGTTCTCCCCTGGCTTGTAGCACTGTTTCACGGGACAGCAATCTGTAATAATGGGATGGCAGAGGAAACATGAGGGAGCTCTTGAAATGTCTTGGTTGAAACATTTGTAACCAAACCCAAGAGTGAGATGCTTGATTAAAAAAAGCCTTAAAATGAATCCAAAACCACAGAGGCTTCCTCTAAACAAGTGAGATTTGGCAGGTCTCTGGGTATTTATTGTCACTGTGTCAAATACTTGTGGCAAATCATCAGAAAGGTACAAATTATGAAGAGAGAAGAGATCACGGTCTTTAGCTGATGCTAAATTGGCTGCCTGGAGTTGCAGGGGTAGTTGCAGGGCCGGCTCTAGGTTTTTTTGCTGCCCCAAGCAAAAAAATTTTTGGCCGCCCCCCGGGCTCTCACCCCCCACCCCACCCGCATGCCCTGCCGCCCCAGTCCTGGGCTCTCCCTGCCGCCCCAGCCCTGGGCTCCCCCCCACCAGTGCTGACTCCACCCGCTCCCCCCTCGTCTCCAGCTGGTCTGGCACTGGCAGGGTCTGGGTAAAAAGCAGGGCTCCCGGGCCGCGCTTCAGCCCATGGTCCCTCCAGCCAGGGCTCCCGCCTCCAGGACCGGCCGGGACCTGGAAGGGCAGAGCCAGGGGACCGCCCCAGCAGGGAGCTGAGGAGCCGGGGCAGGGTAGCCCCAGAAGGAGAGGAGTCCCAGAGAGCGGGATGCAGTCCCGGCACGGCAGCGCCCCGCCCTCTATGGCCCCGCTGCTGCTTCTGGCCGCCCTGCCGCAGTCCCTGGGTGGCTCGGGCTGCTTCGCCCAGCCCTGGCTGCCACCGGGGGGGGGGGGCAGTCGCCCTGTGGCATCTGCAGGCGGCTCCGTGTGCCCCGAGGGGCGGCCCCCAGTCTGAGTGTCCCCCGCTAGGAGCCTGCCCAGCCCAGCCACAAGGTGCGGGTGCTGCTCCCCCGCAGCGCAAACCGCAGCGGCCCCAGGGCGACGTGCTGCTGCTGCCAGGGCCGGTTCTAGGCTTTTGCCGCCCGAAGCAAAAAAAGAAAAAAGAAGGGGGGAAAAAATGGCCAGAATGCCGCCCTTGAAAATGTGCTGCCCCAAGCACGTGCTTGGTTTGCTGGTGCCTAGAGCCGGCCCTGGGTAGTTGTGTTCTAGATTGAACATTCACGTAGGGAAAGATACAAATTTTGGTTAGCTCATCTTTTGCTGCTGCTTTGAGGCAGGAATAGTGGTGACTTTAATTTCCTCTTGAGCAGAGACTAGTGGTTTTTCTTTTTTTTTTTTTTTTAAAGTATGGCAGATAATGCTAGTTTAAAAAAAAAAGTTGAGTCAGATTGCAAGCTCTTTGGAATAGAGACTTCCTCCCTACATGTTTATAAGACACAATGCATACCTGTGTGGACGCGATATGCTGCAAAATATAATTTTGAACATTTTTTGGGGAGTGGGAGGAAAGAGCCATCCCATTTTAGGAGGCTTGCAGTGAATCAGTGTGACAGATCAGCTGATTTGCATTGTCTAAGCAGAAAAGTTGTGGTTTATAATTATTCTAGATCTGGCGGATATGCCTAAGGCTCAATCCTTCATGTTTTACCATAGCTCAGTCTAAGTTTATGCACCCAGTTCTTTTCCTCTTTAAATCAGTGTCACCGCTCTGATTGTGATTTACTTCAGTCACTGCATGATTAGGCACCATATTTCTGAATCAAAAGATTCAGGCTGTCATTAGAAAGTATTGTAGGTTTTTTTTCTTTATGCATGTCAAAATCAAAGACTTGATAGAGGCATTATCACTGGCTATCCCAAGGGCTTGAAAAGCACGTCTTAATGCACAGACATACAGTTCATTTTAAAATTTGTGTACGCCCTTCCCATCCACTACAGCCACCATTTTTTTTATTACTCCCCTTCTGTAGGAGAGGAGCAACATTTTTCCAATTTTTGGTCCCCTAAAGCTTCAAGTCCTTGGTCCCTGCTAGAAATAGACCCTCGCCCATTGTTATGAGAGTATATATTACAATATCAGTAATTTTTTAAATATAGATAATGGACATCCTGGGGTTTAAAGACTTAAAAAGTTATCTGTAACACTGTTTTTTTTTCTAGTGAGGCATCAACTAGTTAAATGAACTGAGTTTAAGAAGAGTGCAGAAGTCAGGAAATCATCCTGCAAGGCACTAGAGCTATGATAGACTAGGGGCCAAAATTACAGCTGGCGTAAACAGGAATAACTACATGTACTAAAACATCCTTGAAATTGCTAAACATTATAGATGGAATTTCTATACTCAGTGGGGCAGACAACACAGGAATTCTAGATTAGCCCTTATCTTAATAGATAAAGAAGAACTGATCACAAAACTACAAATTAATCATAACTTAGGTACAAGTGATCATGATTTGGTCACATTTATAATATGCAACCAGAATAGAGTCCAGACCAGTAATATATATACTTGGTGCTTTAATAGGGCTAATTTCACAAAGCAGAAAACAATTGAGCTAAATCAGCTGAGAGGAAGAATTTAATCAGAAAAATATGATTTGATAATTGGGAATCATTAAAGAACATTTTACCAGCTGCCCCAAAAGCCACAACTGAGGAAGAAAGCTGTGCTGTTAAAAAAATACCCTGGTTTAGAGGGGAAGCAAAGGTATCTGTAAAAACAAAATCTATCCTCTCAAATGGAAGAAAGGGGAAGTTGATAGTAATGAATGTAAATCAGAAGTTAGGAATTGTAGAAAATTGATAAGGGAAGCCAAAGTACACAAGGCAAAATCTATGGCCAGCAGAGTTAAGGACAATAAGAAGGATATTTTTAAAAATATAGTAGGAACAAAAAGAATCCTGACAATGGCGTTGTTCCATTACTAGATGGAAATGATAAAATTATCAATAATAATGCAGAAAAGACAGAAGTGTTCAATAAATATTTCTGTTCTGTATTTGGGGGAAAAACAGATGACACAGTCTCATGATATGGCTATGATAACGTTTTTCCATTCCACTAGTATCTTTGGAGGATGTTAAACAGAAGCTACTAAAATTAGACATTTTTAAATCAGCAGGCCCAGATAACTTGCATCTAAGAGTTTTAAACAAACTGGGTGAGGAGCTTGTTCGACTGTTCGTGTTGATTTTTCAATACGTCTTGGAGCACTGGGGAAGTTCCAGAAGACTGGAAGAAAGCTAATGTTGAGACAGTTTTTAAAAAGGGTAAATGGGGTTACCTCGGTAATTATAGGCCTGTTAGTCTGACATTGATCCCAGGCAAGATAATGGAGTGGCTGATACGGGACTTGATTAATGAAGAATTAAAGGAGGATAATGTAATTAATGCAAATCAATATGGGTTTATGGAAAATAGATCCTGTCAAACTAACTTGATATCTTTTTTGATGAAGATATCATTGTTAGGAAACGTTAATTAATAGTCATCCTAAATTGACCTCCTCTTAATTTCCTCTCATCTCTCCTAGTTACTGACCTTTGCACCAGCCTAAATTATTCTTTCCCTCATAGGTGTTTAGATTAATTGAAAAAGGTACAATGTGGTGCCTCCCCTCTTACTTGTCTTGTAGCCAAGCTCTATATAGTTGGGGCCAGGTCCTGATCATCACCTACAGGGTACCACTGACCTCATCAGGAGTGAGGGGGCTCAGCACCTTTGGGGATTCATTTTTTTTCTTTTTTTTACTGTTCACCTTTCTTCATAAATTAATCTCTTCTGAACCTCTTAAACATTTTGTCGTTCTTTTCTGAATTGCTTCCACTTTGTCTTCTGGTCAGGCAAAATCAGTAAAATATGTGGGCTGCTGATGTGGTGTTAACCTCATAGACTCATAGACTTTAAGGTCAGAAGGGACCATTATGATCATCTGGTCTGACCCCCTGCATGCTGCAGGCCACAAAGCCGTCCCTACCCCTTCCCTTGACTCTGCTGTTGAAGTCCCCAAATCCTGTGGCTTAGTGACTTCAATTGGCAGAGAACCCTCCTGCTAGCGATCCCTGCCCCATGCTGTGGAGGAAGGTGAAAAACCTCCAGGGCCTCTGCCAATCTACCCTGGAGGAAAATTCCTTCCCGACCCCAAATATGGCGATCAGTAAAACCCCGAGCATGTAGGCAAGAGTCTCCAGCCTGAGCCTTGTTAGCCATTATACTATTTACCTGCCATGGCTCGGTATTTTTTGGCTAAAATCATGTTTTTCCATTAAACCATTCCCTCCATAAACTTATCTAACTTAATCTTAAAACCAGACAGGTCCTTCGCCCCCACCGTTTCCCTCGGAAGGCTGTTCCAATATTTCACCCCTCTGATGGTCAGAAACCTTCGTCTAATTTCAAGCCTAAACTTCCCCACGGCCAGTTTATATCCATTCGTTCTCGTGTCCACATTAGTACTAAGCTGGAATAATTCCTCTCCCTCCCTTGTATTTATCCCTCTGAT